TGTAGTTATCGGTATTCTCGCCTATCGGACAATGCGAATATAAATATAAATATTGTATGGGCTACTGAAATTCGAAAAACAATAGACATATGACAATAAAAGGGGGAATGTAATAATCTTTACAAAGTCATAGCAAACGAACGGACTGATGAAAATTCAAAATTTAAACGCTAACATTTTTTGAAATTGTTTGTCTCCATGTTTATGGAATTAAAAACAGATGTTCCCATTTGAATAAACGAAGTCCATTTATTTTTTTGCGCGTGAGAGATGAAGACATGGTTAAAATTTATAAGTTATTGCACTGTGCATATCGTCTCGAATTCTTATCTTCAAAAATAAAGTGGCATCGTAAGGAGACATAAATTTTACTATATGCTTTACTATTGCTATTAACTATATATTTACTGCGTAATTATATACTTGATTTTAAATTGGTTCCTTTACAATGACATATTTGCGATAATCCAATATAAAAAAACAAAATGTGTTTTCATTATTCACATCTAGAATATACAGGGTGTTCCAGCACCATGTTAGAACACTCTGTACATAAATGAAAAAAAAAAAGATACCAAAGCAAAAATATTATATATTTTGCAAATAAATGAAAAATAGTGTTATGTATTTAATGTTAAGAGAGGACATCTTTCTTCTCATCCATTTTTAAAACAATGATAATAATTTTGTATACCAACGCAAAACTTAAAAAAAAAAATTACATTCGTTTCATAAAATCACTTTTTGTTGATTTCGCGTTATACATTTTTAATTATGAATAAATTGATTTTAAATAGTAACCTAAATCCTAATAGATAATTTATGGAATAACAATTAAAAAATAATATTCCTTTCTTTTACAAAAGCGTTAACCAGAGATTACATTTTAATTTAAAGATGTCGTTTAACTTTTAAGAAAAGAATAGGGGTTGTCGACCAAGACTGTGCAATTGAATATTATTTAATTTATTTTTAACATATTTATGTATAAACTGATTGTTAATTGTTTATTATAACACCTGGAAGGAGGTCTTTATTTCTTGTTTTTCTTTATTTCGGGGTTTTATGTGTAGTATAGAACTGAAGTCTTAAAATAAATACTAAAATAACATCTGTGACCTTATTACAATAACAATTTCTTCTGAAATCGTAAACAATTTTCTGAAAATCTGTGGTCTATGTATTATAAAAAAAATAATAACGAACAAAAAACAACTGAATATTTTACTTTAAAAGGTATATCTTCTAAACTAGGCTATAAGCTAATATGAAAAAAACAAATTGTGTTTTCATTATTGACACCTAGAATATAAAAAAGCCAGTACAGTGGAGTCGGGGCATAGCGGGGGCGAAGTGGCCACAGGTCTTCAAGAATTACTATAACTAAAAGTGATCAAATCAAAAATAAACGTTTCGATTTAAATATGTGGAGTAAAGTATGAGTAAAAGTTGAGTTAAGTTAAGTTATTGTAGGTGCACACCTTAAAAAGTAATTTTTTCGAAACGCAAAGTGAAGTAATTCGTAACTCAAAATCTCTACCACCATATACCATCAATAGTTTTTATTAAACCTTGTTTTCCTCTGAAACAGCTTAAAATTGTAATTTGCCGTCTAAAGAAAATTCCACGCAAATTTTGAAGTATTTAGACTATTTTTAAAGAAATGAAAATCTTTTGTGTGTTTTTAGCGATTTTGAAGGGGAAGAAAAGAACTTTATTGATTTTCGGCTCATTTAAGTACGTTTTATGATCAAAATTAAAAATAAAATCTAAAACACACCAATGTCTATTGTAAAAACAATACCTTCTCAGCTCCGGAATGGAGCTAATATTAAACAGCTCTAATTCCAAACGAATTGCTCGTTTGAACTCTAATTATATTTTGTCAACGAAAACGGCCGCCGGGGCGTTTGCATTTGGAAAAACCATCGCTATATAAGTACTAGAATACCTATACGAACATTATAAACAATATTAATTTTCACGTCCAGCATTAATACGGTATTTTGTCTTGGAGCCAAATTACCCGAGGTCACGGTTTTACGCTATATTCGGCCCATTAGGTATGCCCCCGTTGGTGTTGGAACACGGTCGCGCAGGTAACATTCATTTACATATCACTGATTAAAATAATATTTTTTAAAATCCCATCATTATCATGTACATTCCGCACAATTATTTTTGTTACCCACCCAAAAGTTATTTACGACCGCGTATTTATCTGTGCGCTCGACCTGTCGTATATATATATATATATATATATATATATATATATATATATATATATATATATATGTAATCATGTAAATTACTGTTGTTTTTCCACTCATAAACTGCAAAAACAGACATACTTACAAGTTACAACATTAACGTCAGTAACAAATATATTATACAAAATATTATAGAGGAAAAAAGTATACTTATTTTCAAACGCCACGGCCCGAGTTTTTCATATAGAATTCTGGCAACTAAAAAATAATAAGAAAAATACAGCGATATAAACGTCGGGGGAGGGAGCAGGGTGTTAAAAAAATTAATAAATATTCGTAAGTTTCTACTTGATTTTTACATTTTTTTTTTCTATTCTGTGACTGAACTAGTGTCTGTGATTTTAAACGTGTAATTTAAATACACGTGTACACGAAGCACGTGTAATTAGTATACACGTCTATTTAAAAAAATTAATTGTGTCAAACATTTTAGTTTGAGTTAACGTATTTACACAGTTATACTTGTGTTTGAGTTCGTATAATTAAATAGATGTGATATTAAAATTAATAACAAAAATAAACTTTTTGGAATACACGTGTATGTTAATTACACGGGTTTCACGTGTAATAGGGACCTCTAGTCTGAACCCTATGAATATTCTGTAATTCTGTAAATGTTGGTTTATATTGTGCTTGGTTTGTACTTTACTGGATTAGACTGCGCAGGTTTACACTGTGTTGGGTTTTTACAATTCACAAATTCGCATCGAATAATTTAGTTGTAATGAAATCACTTTAACATTTAAATGATTTAACTATACTACGTTATACTGTTTTTGGTTTAGACTGTGTTGGTTTTTTTAATTTGATTATTGTAAGCTATTATTATCATTATTACTTATGCAGTACTAGTAAAAAAATATTTTTATGTGTTTTGAAAATTTTGTTATTTGTACCTAATTTTGTGTTTAAAGTTGTACAGATAACATAGGTTGTGACCTTGTATGCATGGTATCGAAATGTAACATTCTTTTTATTAATATAATAAATATTATTTTTCCACAATATTCCTTTTTTTTTTTAAATAAAATTGAAAATAGTAATTAATGAAAAATAGTTAATATTGTGTAAATATTTCATAGTGAAAATTAATATATCTAGGTAAATTATCTAACTTAACGGAAAAAAAATCGACAGACATGTAATAAATATCATTTAAGTTTGAATATTTGATAAAAAAAAATAGAATGACGTCAGAAAAAGAAATGTGCCCCAATGGGAAATTTGCCCTCATAACTACATGTAGTGCAACTGCGTCATAATATTTCTTGCGTAAATGTCCTGTGGTCTGTGTTCCAATTTACTGAAAATATGTATTATATAAAATCAGTGTTAAACGCCGTGGTACAATTTAATAACATAAATGTGCATACCTACATCATGGTTCTCCATTTGTCATTACATAACTTTTAATAACGGGTAGTTGCATACTGTCAACGAGGGAGCTTTACCCCCTTCCACGTAGGAAAAATAGTATTACTGACCATCATATTTTAACCCCTCTAAAATAACATAGTTAGACATCATTCGAATAAAGCCGTATCTAGTGAAAAATAACTTTTCGATCATTAGCTTAATTGTGATTTTATGAAAACGAACAATTTAATCTATATTCTATAAGTATCATGAAAATTAAACTTAAATGATATCTTATAATTAATAAAAACAATTATTATTATTATTAATTAAATAACTATTCCCGTTATTGGTTATTGGACAATTTGAAATATTTAAATAAAACTTAATATAATTTTGTTTTGAACTGTATAGGTTAAACATGGTGGTATAAACTATGTCTTATATTATATATAAATATATTTTTTCGTGTAACTGAAGGAACGACTTGGTAGTCAACGAGAGACCAAAAACAAATACGAACACACGCACCATTGTAAAACCAATACCTTTTCAGCTTTGCATCGAAAAATAATTGTCAATGTGGAGTTTAAAATTCAAGAATTTTTAAAATTTTACATGCTTTCTTACGTGCATACTAATACATTAATACCAATTTGTAGAAATGAAACCAGCTGAGTGAGAGATGTACCTACACTATTTTAATATCATAATGGAAAACCAATCAGGAGGGGCTAAAGAAGTTTAAATCCTTCTACTCCTGTAAGCTCTTAAAAAATGACATTAACCGTTCAGGTTCGGTTAGGTTTTACCCCAAGTAACGTTTTTAATTTGTACCGAAATTATAAGGGAGCGTTAAGAGTTTTTTTTTTTCAAAGAGTCTAACCTCCACTCTAGTTGCGCCAATGTCTAGTCGCTACCTCTTCATATTATTACTATGGTTGTCATATCCAGAGTTACGGTCACAATCCACTGCACAAAACCATTGACCTCGAGTCTTTTAAGTATCGTATAAGTTCCAATTGAATAATGTACTACTAGAAACACACATACTCGGAATCTAATTGCGATCGAGTGCTTGAATGTATTTTTCACAGTTTTCAAATGGCGTTGTGTCTTGTGCTTTAGTAACCGCAGAACGACCATGGACTTGACGTGGGTTAACATGAACTTTTTGTATTACACGTGCAAATCGTTTGGTCTGTTTCCCTTTGCCGGCAACAGGAAATGCTTGTCGCTCGCTTTTTCTGCAGTCGTATGGTCAATAACGGTATTGTCATGTCTTCAAACCATTTTCGAAATATACCGATTCAGCTACGACGCGTTAGGGTACCAATTGTGGCGAAAGGTTAACGGAGGGAGGGGGCAAGAAAATAAATGTACCTTTTGTCACTTCTACTTGTCGGTTGTCGTTTCGTTGCAGATATTGTTCATTAAAGTGTGCATCGAAGGTTTGGCGGCATTGTTGACCATCATAATATCTGCGCACAAAAGCTTCAGCTTTCTTGCACTGCTGGACAAGTTCAACAGAGTCGACCGGGTCTCCTTGCAAATCCAATGTGAGCAAATCGGACGCGCACAAATATATTACACGTTGTACATGGGTTTTGTTGTCGTTTACTCCTATTTATCCGTGTTCGGCACCAACAAACAAAATATCAAACATGTTTTTTGGCCGTTGACGTGCTGTTTGAATATGTTGGCGTCCGCGCAATATGCCATATTCATGAGGATATTGAGAAATAAATACGAAATGGCAAACGGCTTATTTCAAAGTTGTAAGTGATTTTTGTACATTTTCTAAATTAAAAATTATAATTCCAAATTTCCAATGTGTTCTACGAATAAACTTTTGGATAAACTTTCAAAAGATATTTTGAAAAAAAACTGATGAACTAAATCAAATTTTTAATTTAAACTTTGCTCCCCTGTAAAACTTTACAAAGGAGATACAAACATTGTTTGTTTAGTGAATTTTTTTACATCTTCCCCATTTATTGGTTATTATTATTTTTTATTAATTCAATTTTTGGACATAGATATGGATAACACAAGGACCTATATGCAACTCATGTATCCAAGGGAAATAGACCGTTTATTCGCAGAGCTACGCTATATAACCAATGAAGTTAAGACACATTACGCCGCCAATACCCTTTTGTTTGTGGTCGTGACTGCTGCTATTTTCGTGTCCGATGTAACGATATTATCATGTCATCTCATCTACAAAGCTCATGCACATATGAATAAACAAGCGTTTTTTATAAGCGTTTTTCGCCTAATATTTTTTTTCTTTTTTGTTCGAGAGGCGCACAATACAATACAATCGGTAAGTCAAGAAACAACCAATAGATAATATTTTATCGAAAATTATGGTGCTGAAAGTAGAAGTTACATAAATAATACAATGTTCATAAAAATGTTAATATTTCAACACACCATTTTTGCAGACCAAACAGACAGTACTCATTGCACACAAAGCATTATCGAGGACTAACAATGCGGTTATTTCTAAAGAAGTATAGTAGACAAAAAATATCGCATGTTTTTAAAACTTGCTAAATATTTGTATTTGTTTAGTTGGACACGTTCATATTGAGCTGTTGGATTCATCCGATTGTATTTGATGTTTATGATTTGTTTGACTTGGACTATCAACTTATTCAATCAGTAAGAGTAGTTTTAAATGCTTAATTACATCGTTGTCACCGGCTGCACATTATTCTTTACGTGAAATGTAAAAACAAAATTAATTTTCGCTTGTACTTTAGTTTCTTAAAAAATCTTTGGGCCACTATTTTAAACACAGTAAGAAGAATATTTTCATAATTTTGGTTTTCCAAACGCATTTTTATGCAGATAACGCAAAAATATAACCTTACAACAATACATTTAATTTGTTACACTTTCATGTTTAAACATTTTCATTTTGCCATTTTTTTAATACCAATCTTAATAATTAATACACTTCAATATCTTTTAGATTTTGGTAGCAGTGGCTACTTATACAGTTGTGCTCGTGCAAATTCAACTGGCTCTTCTGGAACACGCATCCAAGGCAAACTCTGCGATTGTTTAAGTGAAAAAAATATATTACAATATATCTTGTTATTAGCTTGTTTGTGTTTAACAATTTTACATTTTTAATAATGAAATAACTAATAATTTTCCTCATCATTCCGGTATTATTATGTTGATTCAGTCAAGAACACTTTCTGACGGTGTTCATGATATATTTGTAAATGTTTATCATTTCTAAGTTGGTTGTTATTAAATAATAGATCACTAGATCAACCGTAATTGACTTGTAATTTATTGTAGCAGATTTGTATTGCAAAAACGTCTGTGCAAATAGTATGTAACCTAAATCGTACGAGCAGCATTGTATGTATCGGCAGCTCTTTGTGTTGTTGTTAATATTGCTCATTACCGAATACAGAAACTCTCAAAGTACACGTTGTTCGTTCAATAACGCAGAACTATGCGCTCCATATTGTATTTTTCGATAGCCTTACACTATATTGTGTGCTGTCATTTAGCAACAGCTACTGTAACGACCGCCTCCGTCAATGCCGTAGCTCAGAACGTATCAGCAATACCTTCAATTGGAAACGGCTCCTCGAAAAATGGTATGTTGCGACCGCTTGCGCTTAACAATACCGTTAGGATGGCTCCGGTCAGAGCAAGTCACGGAAGACTTATGGTGAATAACGAACTTGGAAATGAAGCAAATGTCGTGCAGCAAACCATAACTCCAGTGCTGAAAACTGAAGTTCAATCAGCAACGTACAGCGAGACGAACGGAGATGTGAATCCTGAATACACGAATGTGGAAGAGACAGGTAAAGAAACGGAGATATTTCGCGATGGCTTACTTGGTGTTTTAAAAGAGCATTTATTATTCAGCTTACAAATGGTCGACGACAATAAAATTAAATCTTTATTATTCCTCACCGACTTTATACAAATCGGACAGAATTTACTAAACGACTCGGTCGCTCTACTGTACAAAAGTGCTCTGGACATAAAAGACATAATGAAACTGTATTTTTTCGTTACCGATCCGCCCAGAGAAGTGAAAGATGAAAAAGATTCGACGGCTAGCCAGCAAATCGGTAATATAAAAAATGGCATTGTCACCAAGTTTGAGGACATCCTAGGCAGCGTAGACATATCGAATATACTGCACTTGAACGAGTTGAAGCAAATTAAGCTAACTACACAAAACACACTTTCACAAATGGCCTTAGACGCTGGTAACAAAATAGCGTCGGAAAATAATGGACTAGTACTACCCGGCACCCCGTATCACTTTATATGCAGAGGCCTATTGAAATGGTCCCGTTTGTTGCAGTCAGACAACCAAAATGCCCGACGAATACTAAATAAGATCAAGAGATTGAAACAGGCGGGAAAAACTGTAAGAGATTTTATCGACAATAAATACGTACTCAACATTAAAAATTTCGATCCAAGTGCTTATGCAACACTCCAAGACGTAAATAATGTGTTTTTGAGTCACTTGTACAAATACACAATATTATTGGCGATGTTGATAGAAGAAAACAAAGAGAAGTTACAATCTTCGAACCAACAGACAATCACGTCCGTGACGACACTGGTCAATCAGCTTCATTTGTTTTTCGAAGCTTTCACCACGTTATTTGTCGAACGACAATGGACTTACGTCATCAAACCGCAATCTAAACCTATTTTTGAGGAGTTCAAAAACTTTCTTGGCTCGATCACATCGATGGTAACCACCAACCCTCAACACGTCGCAAACCGTTCGCTAGAATTAATACCGGAGTTGACCGAGAGATACTTAGTAGATTTGTATGTGAACGATAAAGACAAATGGTTAATCGTTGTTAAAGGTGATATCCAAAAGTTATTAGCCGAAAACAATAATGACATCAGTTCGGCTTTGACAATAATCAGAAACGAAGCCATCGAAGATATGGCATTTTTTTTAGATGATTTAAATCCTAAATGGCCAGAGCCGATGCCAGACGACTCGAATGGTATTATAACAGCAACTAGCCCTAACCATAATTTATTGTCATTTTAAAAAAAAACAATAATTCTGGCTTAAAAAAAATATTATATCATAAAATATGATTATATCTATATTTAAAAAATATTAAAAAGTTTTGTTCATTGAATTTAATATTGTGGGGAAAAAAAATTAATTGTAATCAATATTTGTGGGAAAAAAATAAATAATTAATTGGAAAATTTAATACGTGTAAATTTATTTTTACATTATGTTGTATTTAATTAAGTAATTATATGAATTATAAATGTTACTATTTAAGTTTACTAAATAAAATGTAAAACGTAAAATAAATGGAAAATATTGAATACTGATAAACATTTTAGCTTCAATTTTTTATTACGTATACCTTACGTATTTGTGCTTCAGCATAATTGGCCAGGTACGTATTTTAAATTGTACGTAGACAATATAATCAGCTACAGTAAATTACACCATCGTATGAGGTAGCTCATACGATTTAGGTTACATACTATTTTCACAGTCGTTCTTGACAGTTTTAGAATATTAACTAATTACTAAACAATAAGGTTTACCTACAGCGAAGATGTTTAAGTAACATTTGTTATTGAATGTACAAAATTGTAGGTCACCCGTCACATTTATAAAGAAACATTTCGGTTAAATTTTAATTTAGAGCGTATAATTAAAACAAATACAATTACACCTTTAACTTTGATGTACTTAAATATATTGCGGTAGTTGAAGCCTGAAGGGGAGGGTATAAATTTGTCAGCTTGGAAATGGAATTTTTCTAGATGACCCAGATCATATAAAGCTTACCTGGTGACCTATGTACCATCTGCTACCAACTGAAACGTATTTTAATATGCAATTTCAGAAACAATCTTTTATAATTGAAATTAGAATTTTCTTATTTTTTTACGTTTATAATAAAAAATATCAACAAATTGTATTATCTTTTTTAAGTAAGTACACAAAACTGTTCAAAAATAGGAAAAAATCGACGTTTTTCAAAATAAGGGCTTATTAATAAAAAAAAATATAATCTATAGCAAAAACCTAACGTCAATTTCCAACGAAATTTTAAATATAATTTTGACGGTAATTAGAAAAACGGAATATTTGTAAAAGCAACAAGTAATTAATTGAATTAACAAAAAAAATAATTGTTAAAAATTTAAAAAACTGATTTTGTTGAATTTACGTGACTAAATCTATGTAATGAGAACTATTTTTAGCTTTGATGTGAAATTGGTTTTACAATGTGTTTATTTGTGTCAGTTAGCACGATAATTTTTATATTTGACATTTTTGATATGTTGTAACCGAATATAATTAAAACACCTAAATAAAATGACCTAATAATTATAAAAGAAAATTATCACACATAACACAAATTATCGACGCAGTAGTTATTTAGTATTTTTAGAAAAGTTACTTATGCATACATTTAGTGCTACATCACAAACAAATTAATTCTATTAATAATTACAAAATTATCATTAAATGCGTTACTAGGGAGGGGGTGAATTATAGTAACAAATCGAAGAAAGAATATTATTTTAGTCACCTTAAGCCAATTTGATAAATATTTTACTTGTTAATACAAATAACTGATTACTAAAACAATATTTTTTAATTAACAAAATCATATTATTTATTCTTAAATTATAGAGGCTTGTTACGATATATCATTGATTTTTATTCAGTGTAGTGCACACAAAAAAGGCCTGGCTTTCATTTTCTTTAGTCATTAAATAATGTACTGTTTAGACTTAAGAATCACAATTTTACATTCAATTTTAGCCAATGCAAATTGTAATTCTCAATTAATATAATATTACACATACATATAAAAATTGTTTTCGAGTTATTTTTTCTTATATTTTTAAGAGTTGTTATTCTCGATTATTTACATTAGAAGCCTAACATAACATATTTTAAGCATTTTCAATTTAATACACGATATGTTTTACAAAAACAACATATTGTATTCATTTTCGATGAGCACTTGAAATATTCATCTATGAAATAGTACAGTTGGAAGCATTTTAGGTTACAATGACCTAGTTATTTTTTTTGTCTTTTTATTTAAAAGTTAAAACAAACTTGCAAATTATTCTCAATACCTAATTATTTGCCGAGATTTAACAGTTGAGTTGAAAAAATGATCAGATTATTGAAAACATTTAAAGGCTATTTAAAAAAAAAACTTTAGCCTGAAACCAAATGCAAATGATAAACAAATATTCAATGCACACCATTGTTATGGTAGTAAAATATACAATCTATAACTATTTATAAATATCCCTAAAAATGGATATTAAGATTTGTTGAGACAAAAATGAAAACGACAAACGATGGCAACAAATAAAATATATTTTTAAAGGGAGATTTTCATATAGAACGACATACGTTATTTAAATTGGCATTGCATAGTATAATAAGAAATATAGGTAATGCATTCCTTAATAAACAAAACGTCAGTTCCAGGAATGATTTTTTAGGAGTTTATTCTATCCAAACATTGAATTCCAAGCCGAACGTTCTACATATATATTTATGTATATATACATCTATGATTTTACACAATAATGATGTTTACCGGAGAGAAAAATAACATAAAAAAAACAGCCCCCGTCTGTAACTAACAGATGCGAAGAAAAGCAAACGATATAGATAGGTCAAAAAGTACCACAGGTGCCTTCGATTTAGTTGAACGAAGGATGTAAAAATAAATATATTTATGTAGAAAATAGGTACGTACATTTCCATATGTTTTAACGGAACCGCTTCAGTGGCGTTGTTGTCCCAAAAGGGGAAAAAAGGTCTAAATTCGAGGAATCGGTCGTGTTCAAAAAGAAAAACAAACAAAACAATTCCAAATAAACACGCAACAAATACTTGATATTCCCCTAAAAACTAATATCACTTTTGTGGTTCCAATAAAAAAATAATGTCTATAGTAATATGTCCTTTACTGAAATATTAATTCAACACATGGTAAATAAAAAAAAAAAACAATAGTCTAATCTAAAAGTGTAAGTAGATAAAATAACTGGTAAAAAATATTACATCTTTACCCTAACAGCGCAGATGAATCTTGTTTACCCTTTAAAATACAATTTTTAACTTGAAAATTGTTTTTAATAATAGGTATAATAACAATGTTATTTCAACATTTTTTGCTAAGACAATGTTTTTGCTGATAAAATGTCGGTAAAAATAAAACTTAGATAACCGTGTATTTACTTTCATAGGCCATAGTTTTTTAATCCTGTTTTATAACATTTATTTCTATAATATATTGTATTGTTTTAAAACGCGTTAAATAGTAAAAGAATAAGTGTTAAAGTATAATTTGGTAATTTTTATTATCGTAAAATTATAAACTTTCTATATTATAATGTAATGTATTTGAATTTTGACTTAAAATAATTTGTTTGTTATTTTAAATAATCATTGCTACGAATAGAAAAGTGTAAACTTTTTAAAGTTAATTACTCAGAACATTTATTTAAAACAAAAATTAGAGACTATGGGACTAAACTGGCGATTGGTTTGTAAATATTTCTTCTTCTTAGCTTACCGGTCCATTAAGGACCTGCCTTCAACAGGTCTCCCCATCTCTCTATTGTAAGTCGACTCATATGTCACATTCTAGTCTATGGTTTTCAAATCCTTGGCAACTACATCGATCCACCGGGTCCTGGGTCTTCCTAGGGGTCTTTTTTGACATTTACATGTCTTAGCTCTGGCACATAACCGAAAAAAGCGTTACCAAAAAAAGCCGAGTTTTTCAGCCGAGTCTGCAACCACGAAAGAGCATTTCAATGTCCCGTTGAAGTACCGAATAAATATAGATTAGTTGTGGAATTATAATTAAAAAAAAAAAAAATTACATGGATCTTCCAGTTACAGCATATGCTAAGGAGATTAAAAAAGTATGTACAATCATGTTTCTGGCTAAAATTGTAGTGTTTATTATCTGGCCAAAAGTAACTTCACATAGTTTAATATATAGAGAATTAAACTGTTTTGAATTTATTATTTAGTTCTAATTTGAACGTTGAACGTACATCATATCTCTTATCTCCTATATCTTACCCCTATCACTCACCCCTATCCCCTACCCCTATCACTCACCCCTATCTCCTGTCCCCAACCCCAACCCTATCCCCCCCCCCCTTATCTACTACACCTAGTTCCACCTCCAACCCATCTTCGTGTGGTAACGCTCTTTTGGTAAAGCTTTTTTTCGATTATTTGCCATAGTTAATTCCACCCTTTTCCCATACCCACCTCATCTTCAACCCTTTCGCTTTTTTCGTTACGCTAGGAGATAGGGGATGGGAGATAGAGGGTGAGTGATAGGGAAAGATATAGGAGATAAGAGATATGTTGTACGTTCAACGTTCAAATTAGAACTAAATAATAAATTCAAAACAGTTTAAGGGCCCAAATTCTCTATGAATTGTTTTAAGCCAAATATTAAACACACAATATTAGCCAGAAACTTGATGTTTTAATATACTAGCTTGTTACTGCTTCTTAATATACTATATCATTATTTATAATTCCACCACTACTCTAAATTTATCTCGGTACTTCAACTCGACATGTAAATGCTCTTTTGTGGTTGGAGACTCGGCTGAAAAACTTTTTGTTCATTTTTTCCACAAGTACTTTTTTTATTAGTTGACCATCCGCTCTCCAAGTGTGTCCAAACCACTCTAGCCTTTTATTCCTGATATAGGCTAGAATGTTTGGTCTTTTGTATAATTCCTGTAGCTCTTCGTTTTTCTTCTGTCAAACGTATTTGTTTCTCGGTTAAATCGTGGTCCAAATATATTCTGGAGTATTTTTATTTTAAATATTAAAATATGTTGTGTAAATTATTTTATACAGCTACTATGACACTTAATTTTTACTAAAACATAGATTGCGATTTACCACGATAGTTTTAGAGGAAAAATACCTACTATGAAATGGAAAGATGATGACATTTTGGAGAGAATGTGAAATGGTGTATCAGATTTTCAATATATTTATCATTTGGCCTAATATATACTATTGAAAAAGGTATTTTTTACGTTAGTTATTTAGTTTGTTTCTTTGTTATATAATTGTAAAATAAAATTAATTGTAATTATAACTAATATAATTAATTAAGTATTTAATTAAGTTGTACAACTGTTTACAAATTTTGATTATGGACGCAACGGCCAACGAATGAATATGTTAATGTTATGAATATGCTAAAATATTTTGTACTATCTTTAAGATACCTAAGCTGTGAATAAGTGTTACATAATGTATTTAAATATTAGTTAAAAGTTATAACATTTGTTTTATTATCAAAAATACTGCCTACTTTAAATACTTATCTATGGCCTACTGGCCCTACTCATAATATGGTATATTATAATATTATCTCAACTATTATGCGTGTAGCACTAATTACAATACGTATAAAAAAAAACACCAATTGTCATAATAAATTCTAAGGACTATAAAACTAACAACAATTATTATTATAACTTTGTTTGACCTTTGCGTTATTGCCTTCTAATCTTATTAAAAAAGTAGGGATACATTTTCTAATAAAAGTAGAAGATGTATCAAAAAACAAAATGATAACATGTCCGTATTTGCAACACCTACTAGTATTTTTTCTTTAAATCAAGTTGTTCAACGAAAAATATTTTTTTTAAAAACTTAAAGCCAAAATGTCTAACAAATTAACAAGTGTTAAAGATTACGAGAACTACGCTGTCAATACGTTGCCAAAACCGGTTCTTGGTTATTACCAAGGCGGTGCTTGTGAAGAATTTACTCTTTCCATAAACAACAGAGCTTTTAATAAGTAAGATTAATAACAAATTACTATAACTTAATTAATACCAATTATCATTGATAAAATAATGAACTTTTTATAGATTACGAATAATACCACGTATGCTACGTAATGTGCAGAACCGTGACTACAGCCTAACCGTCCAGGGAAACAAAGTACGGCTTCCTATTGGTATTTCACCGTGTGCAATGCACAAGATGGCACACGAGGACGGAGAGTGTGCATCGGCTAGAGGTAAAATAATACCACGGTACTTATGTGAAGTCTCAATTTTAAAACTGTTTTAATGATGAATTGTGATCTCCCGTTATACAGCTGCCGGTAAATACGGAGCAATATTTATCCTTTCGACATTATCCAATTGCAGTTTAGAAGAGGTAGCTCACGCAGCACCAGACACCGTTAAATGGTTTCAACTTTATGTTTACAAAGATAGGTAACTGGGTATTGTATTATGTTTTTAGTTTTATTTTGTTCAATAACTTTTGTATACATTTTTAAGAGCAATGACAATATCTTTGATCCAGCGAGCAGAGAAAGCCGGGTACAAAGCGCTTGTACTTACTGTCGATACGCCTGTTTTTGGAATACGATACAGAGATATAAAAAATAATTTTAGCTTACCAAGTCACTTAAAGTAAGGATTCAATGTCATATGATTTCAATCATTTTTAAAGTAAAATTACTTTTTAAACGTAGATTAGGAAATTTCTCTGAAGAAAATTCTAAAATGTCCAAAACTGATGGCTCTGGTTTGACAGACTATGTAATGAAGTTGTTCAATGATCAATTAGTGTGGGACGATGTATTATGGCTTAAAAGGTAATTTTTAAAGCTAAACTCTGAAATAATGATTTTAAACAAATACATTTCAGAATTACAAAGCTGCCAATAATTATCAAAGGTATCCTTAGCGCGGCAGATGCTAGAATCGCTGCTGATTTAGGATGTAATGGAGTGTTTGTTTCAAATCACGGAGGAAGACAACTTGACACATCACCAGCAACAGTATATATATATATATATATATTAAGATACAATAGTAAAATACTCGATAATTTGAATAAAATTAAATAATGTAAAACAGATTGAAGCACTTCCCAGTATCGTGCGAGAAGTTGGACACCAAGTCGACGTTTATCTTGATTGTGGTATAAGACAAGGTACCGATGCGTTCAAAGCTTTAGCTCTTGGCGCCAAGATGGTAAATTGACAAATCATAACCAACATTGCAGTTTCATAGTTTTTATTATAATTTAAAAATACTAAAGTTTTTTCAAATTGTTTTAGGTGTTTTTGGCTCAACCAATATTGTGGGGTTTAACTTATAATGGCCAAAAAGGAGCTGAAGATGTCTTTGGTTTAATTATTAACGAATTCGACAATGCTATGGCATTGACAGGTACAATACATCACTTTATTCCGCAATGTTAAATATTATTATTGTGTTAATCCGTTTGTTAATTTTGAATAGGATGTCGGAAACTAGATCAAATAAAAAAAGAAATGGTAGTGCACGAATCAGTGTTCTCTAAATTATGAAAAAAAACTAGTTACCGTATTTCAATAATAGATAATTTTTTTTAATAGTAAATATGTTTATACAATTTTGTTTTTAATAAATTACTTTAATTACAAATTATTGCTATAATTTATATTATTTGTTTTTATTATGCAAAAACTATAATTATCAAAGATGATAATAAAAAAACAACAGTATTATCATTATATATTATTTTGGTTAGGGATGTAACCAGACTTAGTAACGACTGGTATATTATATTCTGTGATGATAACCTCAAACTGTTCACCGGTTTAGTTGTAGATAAGAACAATAATACTGATAAGTAATAACGTTAGTCGACATGAAGAATCGATATGAACAATTTTCAAATTTAATAATGATAGTTAATACGTTGTTCTAGTGTTAGAAAATTTTATATTTTTTAAATTACAATACATGTTTGCTCGATGAAAACCGTTTTCTATTAATCGTAAAGCCATGTTAAGTGTTTTAAACCGTCATGTTTTTTCAAAAACATCCTTTCGGTACTTTGCACGCTGTGCTTCTTCAGATCAACAGTCGTTTAGTATGGCCAAAGTCAAAGCTCCACCAGTACCGGACATAGTAAGAAAACCACCTCGTGTACCGTTCCTGAAATCATTGTATGCCGGACAATACGATGTTGAAGTGCTGACGTATCCGGAAACATTGAACTTGGAACGGCATAAAGACTTGGAATCAAGATTACAGCTAGTGCAAAACAACTGTACCCAAACTAGTAATGTACAGCAACTGGGTTTATTTTCAATGAATATTCCGTATCACAGTTCTGGTCTAAACTTAACCGTTACAGAAATGTCTAGAATTTTTGAACATTTCGATTCGAGTGTATTCAAAAGCGTATTTGAACATACAATATCTGTTGATATTATTAAAACATTTGGGACCCCCCAACAAAAATCAAAATATTTACCATTGTTTGCATCAGGCGCTGTTTGCTCTTTTCACGAAACAGTCAAAGCTTCAGCGTTACCTAATCAGAGTTGGGAATTGAACGGATCTGTTAATAATTCCGTAAGTACATTTATGTTAATCGTCGACGGAAGTAATGCATTTATAGTAGAGAAAGACCAAACGACAGTAACTGGGAATAACTTGCATTTAAAACAGTTGAACGTCTTAAAAGAGAACACTATTGAAAATATCGAAATAAAAAACATTTTAAACAATGGAAAATTGTACAAATGTTGTGGATTGATTAAATCACTTAAAAGTATTCTTCAAATTACTGTTGAAAATGTAATTAAAAAAGAAAGGCTCGGTGACAAACTGAGACACTACGACTCTGTTATAAAAACGCTATCAAAAGCGTTAATTAACATTTATACTATCGAAAGTATGATCTATTTGACTACATGGATGATAGATGGATTCGATAATGCCGATGTAGAATTAGAAGTAGCTTCTACGGAAATGTACACCCGTCAAGCTGTAACTACGACGTTAAGAGATTTAAAATCGTTATACGGTAGAGGTTCTATAAATGAACCGTTTTTATCCAAGTACAATGACGTTGATAATCTACTTGTAAATTTGACAAATAATATTGAATTATCCGAATTTATTGGTTCTTGTGGAGTCGATTATTTAAATAAATTTGGATGTGAAAGTAACACATCTTTTTTGGTATCGGCTTTTAGAAAATACAAGATGAAAAGAGATGATCCGAGTCTAATATTAGGACTGCAACAATACTTACATCCCGCCTTGATGGTACAATATAATTTTTACTATTATAATAAATTATTTTACTAAACGTGTTTGTATTATATTTATCAGCATACAGCAGACTTTGCGGAGTACTGTGTGCTAAAATTTCAATATGGGCTTGAAATGAGCAAAACGAATGGTCACCTCAGCATCGATAACAAAATATTAATGGAATTGCTATCAAAAACAACTATGCATATTTATGCAATGACAGCCGTACTTGGTAGAGCGTCAAGATCATACTGCACCGGTATACGATATTCTGACTTAGAGGTAATACAATTTAACGTTTACATCAAACATTGTTTTTTTTTTTTTTTTACCAAAATTAAATTTTGGTAATTTCAAAATTGTGAAAAATAACATTTTTAGAAAAACAAAAACATTAAATTATGTAAGAAAGTTAAGTGTTGGATGTTTTTTGGAGGAAAAAAAACTAATGTAAAAATAATGTCTTATTTCCCTTTATTATTATTTTATTTTAATAATAAATAATTATTAATAATAGTATAATATATTTTCTTTTACCCTACACAATAATTTTTTTGAAATTTTGACTGGACTTCGTTATTATTTTTTTTATTATACATAAAGATTAACTTTTAAAATTTAGTACATATCAAACACTTTTTTAAATATTAAAAGGTATTTTTTGTAAAAGTGAAAACGAAATCTTATACAAAAAATGGTTTACACATTTTTGTGTAAATCAACATTGTTTACTGTATAACAATTTTGTTTTCTGAATTTAGATGACGATAGCTGAAATTGTAGTCAGAGAATCGTACGCCACATTGAAACCGATTTTAGAAGATGTTATTAGTGGATCATATGTTGCTGACAGTTCAGTTTATCAGTCTTTTGCCGAAAAGCTATTAAATAGGTAGAACTGTATAACGAATACCAATAAATGTACACTGTTTTAAAGTTTTTTAATAATAATGATACAACTTTATTTATCTATTAATGTATAATACAGATTATATTTTGTTTTAATTAAAAAAAAAAAAATATATATATATATATACCTATTCATAAATTGAATGGTACCACATATGTACATTAAAAAACTAATTTTGAATGATGCTCTTTCGAAAAACATTCACACGAAAATGTGTGAATTTTTAAAAACGGTATACAAATAAAAAAAACATGTGTTACACTAACTAAATATAATGATAAGTATATATGTATAAAAAAAATACATACTTATACATATATTTATAAATACTCGTATCGATCAATAATCAATAATTTTAAAAAAATAATTATACATAATATTAAGTTTTTTTTGAGCATTAAATAGTATGATCTTAGATAGATATATTTATATAGCATTAAGAATCAAGAAAAAAAAACAAAAATGAAAAAATATATGGAAAATGAAAGAAACCTTATAGAAGACAATAAACTATAATATTATTTACAATTATGGATTATTTTAATAATAAATTGATGTCGTTTACTTCTTGTAATTATCGTGGTAACCTCCGTATTGTGGTGCAGCGTGACCGTAAGGTTCTTCTTTCCAGAAGTTGAGGTCGATAGATGGAATTCTATCATAGTCATTACAAGATACCAACGGATTCCTGTTGATTTTTATAATTTCATATGTTAATACTATTATCATTTTAGCTAATAGTGTGCTGCGAGCAAAACCAGGCAAATTTTATTTAAATAACAAATTATAATGAATTAAAAACTTTGAATGCATTTTTTTAATATATGATATATTTTTTTTTAATTGATAAAATTGTAACTGTTGTTTCAAATGAAGTCTTACTTAAATTGAACAACTCATTATTTTTAATAACTTTCTCAATAAAAAATGGATTTGATATATTGTTTTGCTCTTTATGTGAATACATTACTATCTTCTATATTAAATTTCATTTGTATTTATTATATACATACATACAGTTTTATTTTAATCATTTTTCAATTAAAAAATAATATATTAAGTTTTTATTTTAGTATACAATTTTTTAAAAATAATGCTCAGGTCTGGTTATAAGTTTTATAAAAAAAAAGTAAATAATATATCCATCATCTGCCATTTTAGTTTCCAAAAACAAAACATATTTTATTTAGATAAAAAATTTAAGCTATTACTAAAACTGAAAATGTATTTTAAATTAATCGTTATTGGTAAATTATTGTTTTGTGTATTATATTCTAAAAGAAGTTACCCATGTTTGACTATTGCTGTTTTATCATATAAGTAAATATTGTTTATATAAAAGAATATGTTTAAATTTTAACATTTTAACTTATGAGTAAGGCCATTTTTGTTAAATTCTCATTATTTTTTTTATTTATTATAATATCGGTTAACTGATATAAATATTTTAGATAATTGACATTTTTAGCGCCGTCCTTATTTGCGTGACGGCAAATACTTGTACATGACGTTACGAATTTTGCCACAAGGCCTATCCTCGTAAAGAAAATATATATTTTTTAAAATGTAAATATTTAAAAAATCACGTTTTGACAGTTGATTAAATGTTTCAAAAATATATTTTTAAAAAAATGTTAAATTATTATGAAAATATATCCAGTTCTATATTTATATTTGCCACATTTTAACAATGTTTAAACAAGTTGCTTTTAAATATTGTTTTGGAATCTCCCGTCAAAATATGATTTTAAAAATATTAAAAATCTTTTTTACAACATTAATATTAAAATCTTAATGCAGAGAAGGTATTGTTTTTGCAATGAAGTGTTTTTATTATTTCATTAATTGTTTTTTTGTGTCTGGACTCACGTTATTTTCTATAGCGCTCAACCGATGTATTCATGTAGCGAGTTACAGATAGTAAGAACGTACCTTTTACAGATTAGCATCGAAGCCTTTATTTTTTTTTAAGAATAATCTCATCACTCAATTATAATAATTTGCCTACAGTCTTGTGTACCCCAATGTGGACCGACCCAGCGGTACCGGCTAGCCAACTTGCCCCTCCTCCCCACCCCTCAAACCGTAAACTCACTTGTCGGATATTTTCAGGAAACCTTGCGCTTGGATCGTGTGCAAATCGTCGCTGTTGTCGCAGAATATTCTCGACAGACTGGACTTGCGGATTTCGTTGAGTTGTTCTAAACACAAACAAACACAAAGTCAGCAAATATTTTTTAAACGCTTAAAAAAAAAATTCCGCTAAAAAAAAACGTGGCACTTACCGGGCGAGAAGGATCCGGGTTGACCGCCCAATTCGTAGAAGTAACGGTCAGACACTCTGGTCCTGTAAAACTGTTCGGTCAACAAGCACAGGAAAGTGGGTCCGGCTAAAGTATTGGGTACGTGAGCTTCCAAAGAGCCGCCGACGCTGAGGTCAACGTCGTCCGGATGGTTGTACAACAGAGCGAGTTTCTCGATACGCTGTGGAACGAACGAAACTGTGGCGTTAGACTTGGCAAAGAAAAAAGAACCTCCAAATAAAAATAAAAAAATTCTTACTTCAACGTCGATGTAGTCGGAGAAGTCTTCGAACTTGTGAGCCCTGGGCAAACCGCAGAACTCTCTGTAATCGTTGTAGGAAGCCAAACCATGGTCACGGCCTCTCTGCACGTCGATGGCTCTCAAATCCCGGCCGAACGGACGACCGTTGCGGAACAAGAAATCGGTGATCTACACATTTGAAAAAAATTTACATTAGATTGGTAAAGAGAAATCATGGAAAACTGTAAAATTGTACACTTTTGAAATCGGAAATTGCTTTTTTAATAATTAGGTTTAGTCAAACCAAAGTTAATGAATTTTAAGTAGAACAAAACGTGGTCGGACGCGATGGAAAGGGTCGTAAGTATGACAGAAGGGTGCCGCATGGCTGAGAGGACAACGGAATCGGCAGACGTGTGGATGGAGAGGATTTTGCTGATCGAACCCCCTTGTATATGAGATAAAGCGGAAAAGAAGCCGGTCCCACACGATTTTAGATATTTACTTCGCTAGTGAAGAACGGGTCGACTTCCTCTTGGCTCTGCGTGGCCAGACCTCTGGCCAGATGGTCGAAGTTGTATCCCTTCTCGATGATGGTCGGCCGGTTGAAGTAGTCGGACAGTCTGATGGCGGTGAGTAAGTTACGGTCTTCGCCGATCAAGCTGAAACACACACAAACGACGGCGGTTGTTTATTGGAACCCCTTAAAAAAACGGCGTGGCACGCAGACTTACTGGAATTGCCCTTGGATGGACGAATGGAAGTATCGGAAAGCGGCGTGAGCGTGGGCGTTTATGACGCTAGGGTCGACGTTCTCCTTGTAGTCGTTGGTGTAACCTTTGTTGTTCTTGTACAGCAAACCGTATTTCAACATGTTGTCCGTGCCCAAGATGATCGGCAGCCATTCGTGGTAGTTGATGTGCTGGAATTGGGCGATCAAGATCCTCCTGGCTTCTTGGTACAGAGTCTCGTCGTCCCAGTGGGGATTGACGTGCGACAAAACGGTGGCAATACGGTTGTGTTCCCTCAGGAAAAGAATCTGCAGCACGGTCAATTGTGGGTTCTGGTTGGCTCTTCGGTCACCTGGAAAAAACGGGCGAAATACAATAGAAGTTAGACAATATTATGTTTAGCCTCTGTCGACTGCAATATTTCAGTGACGCCTACCGAACTGGTAGCAAGGTTCCTCGTCGGTTTGTTGATCGCACACGGCGCTCTTGTTGGCGGCTGCGGGCGGCCACGGTCTTCCGTCTCTGAATTCCACTCTCAACCTACCACCAACTCCTTCGCGGAGGTTGTCGGCTAATCTTTGGCTGGATCCGTACACGAAGGAAGCGTCCATCCAATGCGATACGACCACCAACTGCAAGACCACAGCGAAATCGTTCGATACAGAATTATACTTTTAAAGTGAACCAATCAAGACAGTAAATCTAAGTGCACGGACCATTAAAGGTATTCTCTGTGTTTACATTCTGAACGGTATGCAAATTGCCAATAGGGCAATCCCCAACTCCTAATGGAATTGGTAGTTCCGGGCATCAAACAAGAAATTAGAACTATCCACGGTCCACCCAAATAGCCCTGGAAAGCTGGGAAGTACACGTTATCTTTTCGCCACCCAACGAAGCAAAGTCTGAATTTTAAAAATCCCAAACCCAGACTTTTAAAATATAATTTAAAAAAAAAAATTAAGTTTAGAATTTAGATTTTCATTTTGCTTTTTTAAAGTATTAAGATAATAGGATTGTTAAAATTCTAAAAATCTCGATTTTACCCAACACAGTGCCTTTCTGTAGTTCACGTTTTAGGACATATGCTGACCTAGATATTAATGGGCTGGAACCCACCTATTCCAAGTCTTCCTCGAAAACGTATCTACTTAGTTTTGGCTCAAATACCTACCGCTTAACACCGTTGGTCGACTTAACATTTAACAAATTAAATTACTTGTTCGGCGGGCTGATTTCCGGCATTGCATCCGGTTTCCAAATCGGTAGTCGACCTAACAAAGTTCATGCATTCTCTGTTGAATTTGGAGAACACCGGGTCATCGTCGGGGATTGTGATTGGGAAACAGTGGACGTCCGGGTTGTTGCTCAACAAACGGCCATTGTCGTCGCAACACCTGATGGAATGACGTTCTAAGAAAAGCAAAAAAAAAAAAATTAACATAAACATTTAACCTTATCCCGTTCAATAATAATTATTAAAAAGGATCAGTTTTTTTTTTGTATTTGGGATTATTATATTATCTGGGCAGGTAAAATATAGAATTATGATTTGCGAGAATGCTTTGAAACTGTTGTTGGTACATTGTCTTAGTACGTTGTCATTTTTTTAAATGAAATTGTCTCTGCTCAAGTAGTAACTTGCAAAGATTCAAAAGTCCGTGTTTATTAAATTATATATATTTATAGCCTCAGTTGTGGCCTGTGGGTGATGTAAACCGGTCATGACGAAGAATTTTATTTCATAACCGACTGATCCAATAACGTTGACGAGCTCGTTCACAACACAAAATTAACGCGGAAGAGTATTGCAAGTGGTTGAAATTTTGATTTTATGTTTTTGTTCATCGTCCGCCTGACTGCGTGTATACTTGCAACTGTAAGTATATTAGGAGTACCTTCTACTATTAGACGTATAGCTACGGTACCGACGACAGTCCCATTGACAATTGTAAGTTTATGCATGAACGTATATTATATTTTTACACACACAATACATATTATAAAAGCATCTCCGTGCAACCATAATAACGTGACGTTATGTGAAACACTGCCCGTACCGAGCAAAACACGATTCGGTCACGAAATCGCCATTGCCCGTTATTGTTGTTTGATACACGACTCGTGCAGTGTAGGTAGGACGACTGTAGACAATAATGATGATGATTATTATTACACAGCTTGCTGATTATAAGAAGAAAAAGTAGTAGTAGCTTAAGAAGAAAAGAGTTTAGGAAAAACACTCACACGTTGTTGATTTTTCTTTATGATGGTTTTTTAAATGGAAAAAAAATGTACTTTAATATGAATCGTTTTGCTTATGAAAGGTGTTAAACAGGGATTAAGTCTAACCTAACGTCAGTCATAACGTTGTTAAAATGTTAAAACGTCAAAAAAATAATACCAATAAAGTAAACGCATTTGTAAATACAATGCATGTCAGATCGATAACGAATAAACGAAAACGAAAATTTGAAATAAATAATCTAGGAGTATAACCCTAAAATTTGACATACTCTTTAAGTACAATGTGTACCTAAAAAGGTATTGGTTTTTAAAAAATATTCGAAATTATCAATACAGCTGTTGAAAACAAAAAAAAAACAACAAAAAAAGAGCGACTTCTTACTAAAAGGAGGTAGAAATTTGTTGGTTTTTTAAACGTTTTTTTTTTTTGGCATTTGTATCTGAAAATTAGAACAAAGTGTAGGTATTTGCGACTTAACCCTGGTTTTTACAAACACTGTCATTATTTAAGTTTAACCTGCGACGCCCAGCGTTACAACAAGGAATCGTTGGTCCACCGGTTTGGCATAAAAAACATATTATGTACATCTTTAAAATTTAGCTTCGGGCGGATTATACCAAATAAATAATAAATCTAAATAATTATTATTAAAAGTACGCGCATCTGTCCATCGGCACCGTAAATCGTAATGTCATTTTAATGCGTATAGATAATCGTATATATGTATATACATATCAAAGAACACTTTCTCCGAAGTCTGTCGGCGGCTTACATAATAAAAAATAACGTTCTTGTTAACTCCGTATCAGCCATAGGTACGTCATGTGAATTTTGCAATTGATATTACAAAAAACAATTTGGTCGGATTTAGCCGTAGGTGTGGGTAAATACACATTTTGCTTACTAGCTTGAGTGGTACCCATCGACATGGACATGTCGTGAGTGACAATCTGACCCCAGGTCATGGTGATCAGAGTCCAGACGGGATCGGGGATGGGAACGTCCGGGAACATGACGATGCTGATCAGACGGGAACTGGGCAAAGGTTCGCCAGACAAAGTGGTCGGTGGCGCATGGATACCTAAAAAAAAAAAGATAAATTACAATTTTCTTATTAAAAAAACAAGTATAAACGATTTAATAAATTTTTAATATAGTTTTTAATAAATTAATTCCGAGGCATAGGCTTAGTGAGGCGAGAATAAGAAAGTTTAGGTCCTTTAAAATCTTTCAAACTCACGCAGAATTTGAGTAAAAAATGAATTCCTTCCTTGGGTACTCCAGTTTTGTTAGTGAACATTTTTTTTTTATCTATGATAGCGTTTTGATTGATTTAAACTTTTATCCTTCCCCCCACCCCTAGCCAATGTTTCGGATCGATTTTGTAGCCCCCCCCCCCAAGAAAAAAGCTTGGAGAACAAGTAGTAATCAGAGTAAGAAATTGTAAAAGTGTTTAATAGTACTAATGAATATTTTTAGACTTCAGTAGATGATGGTCTAAAAAAAATTGTCAGGAGTTAAACTTAGAGCAATCGAGAGAAGTACCGTAGACAAATGGCTTGAGGATAAGTAAATTCTCTAAATAAGGGACTTCTAGTGATATCTCCAAAGATTTCTGTACGGAAAAGACAAATTCTTCAAAGGTCTTCTAAAGAAGCTGTATGATGTTCCAGCAGGTTTCATAATCCAGAACTTAGAAAGACATAATTTCACGGGCGAATCCAACTTTGCTTCTCAAATTGTAGTGAGGTTTTATGTATTTATTTAAATACGTAAAAGGGACTTCTAGTTGATTCGATAAGAAAATAAGACAGTAAGAAAATCGTACAGGACTTCAAGTGTTATTAAGAGATCAATAACAGAGTACAAGATTTCGTTAGGAAATAGAGGAAATATTTGAGTGTGTGATTAACATGTTTCAATTTATTGATTAAAAACGTAATTTTTTATTTTGTTTTTAGTTTGTAAAATTAAATTATAGATTTGAATTTAAATGTAAATTGACCAACACTGAATTTGTGGCGATAATACTGTTCTCTAGGTTGATACATACCGTCAGAGTACTTAGGCGGCAACAGACGTGCGTACTTGGAGTTTGGCGTACCCCAGTTGGTGTACCTGAGGTTGTTGCACGATCCATCGATGGTCCTGTACTTGCTGTTGGGGCAAGGACCTACCGGCGGCAAGCATCCGGCACCTTGTGGTGGTGTGGATATCTCACCAAAGCTTCAGGGAAAAAACAAACAGACCACGAGGTTTTTTTAAATCCGTTAAGCTATAAAGCAAACTCAACAGTTCGACTATATGTACGTACTTGTTAGGTCCGGGACGAGGTCCCAAACCGTTGCTGGGCAAAGGCCTAAAACCAAAACTCGACGGCTGCGATTGGTAAGGGTGAGGGTACGACGCTTGAGGTAGATATCCTGAAAATAAAACAAAAATGGTCAAAGCTCATGCTTTAATTTTAGCTTCAATACGGATCTGAGAAGGTATTGTTGTTTTTACTTTTTATTTTTTTGTAATTGCGTCGACGATTCAATTTTTGGAAATAGTAGTAATTGTGTAGTTTTTATTTTTTGAAAAAAAAACATTTTGTGAATTTCTTACGATATGATATTTTCAATCAATTAGTCAAAATGTCTCAACTTAAAAATTATGTACAATATTATGTTTTTTTTATACTTAATAGTTACTACTATCTACAGTTTCCAATCGAAGCTATCTCTTTTGGTAAAAATATTTGTTGAGACTATTTCGACCTCCCTGACCCCAACCTCACTGAGCTGGCTTGTTTTTTTTTACTCACCGGTGTAATTATGTTCGGCGTACGGGTCATGTGATTGGTAGTATGGCGAATGACGGAATATGGCAGAAGCCGCGCAGACCAGACCTGCCCCTAACAGGACGGCTAAGTTGATATTCAGCGTCATCTGTAAACAAAAAACAAATGTAACGTTAGTGACGACTCACGGATAAATTAGCAACTTGAATTTAACACGGCTTAAGAAAAGGCAAAACTATAGGAATTATCGCACACGAATAACGCGTGCGCAGGCACAGCTATAGAAAATTATACGATACGTGTTTGGTCCAATTTATAGGCATGACAGATTTTATAGGATAAGTCCACAGACAACCAATGGAATTTAAACCAAACCTAATATAATATTTATAGAAAAATTATTTTTCAAAGCATAATTAATTGAACTTAACGGGATAGATGGGTTACATCTATCTTGAGTCAATTTGAATTAAATTGTATTTAATGTTGACTTAACTGTCGTTTAATTACGTTTTTAGTATTAAGTACATTTTTAGTTGTTTAATCATCGTTTTTAAAAACGTTTTTTATATTTTTTTTATTTACCTATTTTATAACATTTATTTACAACAAATAAGTATTTTTATTCATTATAACTTTAGCTGTGGCCGTTTTATGAATAATCCCATTTTGTAAATTTAAATTAACTTTAATTAAATTAATTTGGTTTAGGTTTTCGGCTGTTAAACGTTTTACAATAAATGTTTGCCATTTTTTTGAAAACATTTTCAATTTCTGGATTCTACTAATTGATAACTTTTAATATTATGCTTTGATATGCTGCAGCAGATGAGACTCGGCTATTACAGCTACTGAGTATACCTACTTGAAACGAATCACGCGAGAATCATTGGGCGTGTACTTTATTATTATATTATTATATACTTGCATATCGAATCTATCTTGTTTGCATTTCAACGGTTAGTAATAAATTACATGTTGTTTTGATCAGTTTGTTCTACTCGGTTACATACACACCTAACAACTAAATCGATATTTTCACAATACGGACAACTCGTTTTTTTTTATACTTCTGTTTCTGTTTGAACTTTGACACGGTACATACATGCAACCTGAGAATATAATATATGTACACTATTGGGTCAATGTAGAAATCCAACAGTTGTTTCAACATAATAATATTATATTATGTTACCCACTGGGCTTGACATTGATACTGTTGTTTACGCAGTTATTGTTCTTGATAAACAAAATTGTAATAAAAAAGGATCGGAGAACAATTAAAAGTGGTTCGTCAGCATTTGATAAATATAAGATATAATATTATAAAGTATTATAAAATAAGAAAAAAAATATCACAACATTCAAACCACATTTTGAAGCAACCCAATCGCGGTTCATTTGGTGAATTGGTAACTTTCATTTTTTAATATTTTTTTTATGTACTCGGATTTGAACAGTATCCTTAATAATACGTGTCGACATACTCGGCAAGAATATATTATTTATGTATTCTTCTCTTTATAGTGTTAATATTATTACTATTTTTTTTTAACTCATCAATCACCGTCAAGTCATGGTTACATGTTAGATATAACTATTGAACGAGTTAGGCATTTTCACGACAAAATCACTTAGCGGCCAAAGTCGAAGAACATAATATAATTATTGAATTATTAAACAATATGCTACACAAACTAACATTTCTAATTATCCAATTTTCCAGAGTGGCTAGTATAAAACATTGTAAACGTTTAATGTGTTAACATTACTAATAAAATAAAATAAATATTATAAAATATTACTCAAATCGAAAGTATTACAATATGGTACTATGTAACATGCCATTATGGTATTACAATACAAAACACTTTTTCAATGTTATTTTATGGTTTGCACTAAAAACGTCTTCTGTTCGAGGAGGAGAAAAACGCTAAAACGTTGAAGATAGGACTTTTCAAACTGGACCAGCGTTTAAGTTACTTTTACAATAACTTTCTCGGTCTTCCACATTGCCAAAAATAAATAGGAAAAGTATTAATTTTTTCTGAACAGAAAAAAAATATGTTTAATTGACTCAAAAATATATAATAATATACTATATTCACACGGCCGGTTATCACTTGTGTTTGTTGGCCGATTAAATCGAACAATAACGTGCACACCTTGTGCTCACACATTAAATAAATATCATATTATTATTATTATAATGCAATATTATATTATTATCATGAGACTATTAATAATCGTGTCAAGGGCGATTAACCCGAGATTTGGGAGTGTTTTTCACCGTGTTCTACATTGATAATAGGTAATTATATTATTATTATTATTATTATTATTATTATACATTGTAGGAGGGCAATAAGATTTGGTCAGCTTTTATACTAATATTTTCATCTAAGAGCGCAGTAAAAGTGGTGACATATTGACCCGTGCTAGCATCGAGTGTATTGTTGTATGGACAAGATAATTTGCTTACAGTATATTATAATGATGATAGGTGTACTGTTATATTATGTAGGTACACGGACCCAAGTGCTTTGGGTTAGGCCTCAGCAAGAAGATTAATAATAATATCTCTAGTCACACAATCGTATTGTGCATAAGTATTAATTTACCGTTTTAATATTGTACTGAACGTTTTGAAATAATTGAAATATCCACAACCGTTTCCGCCCACTTTGAATAGCTGTCAGAAATAATTGCTATATTATGATGCAGCTAAGATGTGCGATGAAAAACCATTAGTGTTTTATTTAAATATGTACATAATATACAATAAGTAGGATTCTGCGATAGTCCGAGAAAGTAATAAACTACCAAAAAAAGAGTTCTAGTTACTTAGCTAATAATTATACATCACATTTTAACCTTTAAATTAAGACGACAAAAAATGAACTCCTTTATACGAGTATAACGTCCTCTTAACTGTTTGTTTAAACAAATTTTAAATTATACTTTGGGCTTTTATTTAAATAACAAAACGTTCAGATCTGTTCATTATTCGTTTTTTCTACTATTACTATACAACCACGGTTATGTAACGAGTATTATGTTCCGTATGCGCATATTCGATTCGTTTTGATCTTCTATAATATATGCAATTTGGATTTATAATATATATATACATCATTCTTGTTACAACTGTGTGACATGGCAGAAAAACTACTCGGCCATCGTGATTTACCGCTCGGAGTCTATAAATACATGTACGTGTACGTATAAGGAGTCTATTTTAAGACAACTAAACCGTGTGCTCCAGTTTTGATTGTCGCGTTTTACACGATTCGCAATGTTCGCAATGTGTATGCATAACGTACAACCTATATATTATAGACATGCTTTTTGTACGTCATACATTAATTTAGCATTTGATTTACGCCGCGTAATCGTTTTAAGCCGTATAAGTGCACAAACAGGAAAACAGGAAATAACCGAAAATAAAAAATAACGAACTTACGCTCATCTGCCATATCAAATTACAGAAAAAGTTAAAAATATAAGCCCTTCGATGCGAATCTGTAGATAGTAGAAATATTACATTTCCGTAATATAAAAAAAGAAGAGGATTCTATCCATTTTACGGGAAACGATTTTTTGGTTAGTCAACGTACAGGACTATAACAAAAAAAATTGTCTTTACACATTTGCAACTAGTTTGAATATTTATTTATTTTTTAATTTCATCAGAAACACTTTACTTACATAGCTTTATATTGTATTAATACTCAGTATTTTTAATATTTTTAGAAAGGCTAAAATTTGTTTTTTTGTGAAAATCCGTTTTTTCAATCTATCCTACTACAAAGTACCGTTCAAATACGGATTTCTGATCTATAGACTTGCTACATAAAGAAATTGGTTTATCGGTTTAAGAGATATCGTTGGTCCAGACGCAAAGAAATTAATATAAATACAAAAGCAATTGAATACCTTCTAAGCGTCGTATCGAAGTTAAAATCTGAGTAGGAGGGCTAACGACTCAACAAATAATCATTATACATAAGATGTAATACAATTAAGGTGAAACCCGCTCATTAACGTATGCACTATTGGTATATATCATGTGCTTTTTGAAAATTTCACTTAGGTACTCGCTGTATGAATAATTGCAATGTTGTACCTATCGGCTGTCTAAGTACACACTTAATTGCCAATTGCCGACTTTTGTAATTATAATTATTATAAGATTACGTTCGAGATGCTGCTCTGTCTTTAAATATGTGCTGATTACCGCAGGAACTCTCACTTCCTGATTTATCATCTGGTTTATTCGACTGCGATTTGTTACCATTTCCGAGCGTTTCAAATAGAACCGGTCCGCACGAGATTTATACTGGCTCATCGCTATTAAAATTACGCTCCTGGTGTGTATTGTGTGCTTATTTATTGAGAAACCGGTTTAGTGACCGCGCACATCACGTCAATCAAGCGGGCACAAAAATATATCAAAAGGTAGGTAAGTATCGTTTTCATTATAGAATGCACAACTACAAAATAATATTTTCGTCGTCGCCGTTGTCGGTTTTAGCTTAGATGCTTTAACTTTTAGAAATCGAAAATCAGACGTTCGTTCAAAAATTAAAATTTGTTCAAGTTTTTGCCAAAACCCGCCGAATCGGATATTTTGTATGATCCTTCTGCCCAGTCGAACTTAAAAATTACACTCGTGTTAATATAAAACTATAGCTACATGCTTAACTGCTATGATGATATACTATGTTTTTATAAAAATATGTACTAATACGTATATGTCTTAATGTTTTTAACGGTAAGAAAATGTTTTAGCCTTGTGGGTCGTATAAACGAGCATTATTCACTTGAAATGTGTGAATACAGCACCATCCGGCTTTCGACTTTATGGCTTCTGCTGAGAAATTGTTATGGTAAGATTTCACTTTTTTTCCCTCTCGTCCGCATTATTAAATGTCGATAAGTAATACATATTTTTAATACGCATTAGCCGTTCCCTTAGACCTTCTTCGCGTGTAATTGTGAATGGATTACAAACAATTTGAACTCGTACATTCCGACCTTGATTACAGTGTTTGTGTTTCTTGCCAAGAATCTGGGTCGATCGATTTAGAAAAAAATTATAAAACTAATACGTTGGAAATTGCACATTGATTAGGCCACGTGTAAAGG